TTACATAAGCGTAAAATGACCTCCTATTCTAGACACAAATTGTATATCACATGTAGGATCACAACACTGTTACAATTTGCATTTGTAAAGAGATTAATTATATATCAATTATAAAGATTTTTTGAACATTTAGTAGTAGGGCACTTCAAAGATGAATTGATATTATTATTGTTTATTAATTGGTGCAATAAATATAAAGTAAAAATTTTTTATTTATGAGTGGTTTATCTATTATTACAATACTTTATTTTATATACAAATTTTAGGTTTTTATTTTTTTAAGAAAGTTTAATTTTTTTGTAAAGATACATTATTCTATTTTGATATAAAAATTTTATCTTTGTTTTAAAAAAGAAGAAATTAAAAATATTATCAAAATAATTTAAAAATGTAAAAGTATTTAAAAATTAATTTAATTTAAAAAATAGAAACATTTTTTAATCAATAAAATATATTCTTTAGAAGAATATTTTCTGTGTAAAATTTTTTTAAAAATTTATTTTTATATATAATTTTTGTTAGAACACATATTTATTCAGTTTAAAATAGTATATTGATCTATTGCTATATTCATTTAAATAATATTTTAATTAATTATTTAATTATTTTTAATTTTTTCATAATTAATATTATTATTTAATTATATTTTATTAAATTTAAATTTAAGAAAAAAATCTTTTATATTTTATATAATAGAATTATATATTTCATGTTTTTTTATTAGTCATAATTGTAAAGATTTTAATAATTGTAAAAACAATATAATAAATATTTTTTTGTAAATTGTGGAATAACAACTTAAATAAAATTTAATATTTTAAAAATATATTTAAAAATATTTTAAAAATATTTGTTTTGGCATTTCAATTCTTTGATTTTTGATTTGGTTATATATTGCTTCATATATAAGGATTATTACCTCTTTTCATATGTAAATTATAATTAGGATAACTGCTTAAATATTGATGTCGTGGGCTTACTGATGGTTGCTTAGTAATATTTGCCATTGCCCAACCCATAATCAATTCTAAACTTCTGCAAAAAGTTTGAAACATAAACCAGGGCCATGGTTTAGGATACTGTGTAATTGTTGGTTCTGATCCATATTTCACAGTCTCAGCTAAAAGCCCTAAATTAAAAAAAAATTTTCTAAAAATATTTTTTTTTATTTATTATTATATATATAATAAACTTAAATAATTATTATATATTTTATATTAAATTACCGTATGGTCCAAAAATACGTGCTATATCTGTAATACATAAAATGATCCCTAAAATCGCGGTTATATATGTTACATTCAATACTTTTTGAATTTGTGATCTTCTAACTGCCGCAGTATTTGCTTCTAACACATGTAAAGGAGTATCGGATTTAGTTCTATTTACGTATGCAATATGATTTAATATTGAATGAAGTGTGAAATCATTATTCTGAAAATAAATATTCAATTATTAAAATAATATAATAAAAATTTATTAGAATAAGAATATTAAATTTCGTAAATTGTACATAATATAATTTTTTAAACAAATATAATTAAATATAGCTAATTATATTAGAAATACCGCAACTTTTCCGTCAACTTTAGTATTTTCAGAAAGCAAAGTCTCAACAGTTATATCTTCAACATCTTTTTTTTCTTTTTCGTTTTTCCAAGATAAATTTTTTTTTCGTGATTTTCCATCATTATCTTTATCTTTATTTTTTTCTGCCATTAGAGCTGCTTTTTCATTACAATCAGGTTGATCCGAATCAGATTCAGATTTTTCATGTATTTCTATTTTTTCAGGAACTATATTACGACTATGAGTTGGACTTCTACTCAAGCTTCTAATGCTAATATCACTACTTCGACGATTTAAATCTAATGGCTTAACTTGAACGAATTCCGAATTACGTCGAAAAGAAATATCAGAATTTCTACGTAGTTCTGCTCTGGAAATAAAACTGCTAACATCTGAATTACGTCTCGAACCTGAAATATTTAGATATGGATTTATTTATAATATATATAATTCAATGCTTTAAGTTTTATCTACCTGTAGGACTTAGATCTATTACTCTTGGTAATTTATGATCAGTTGGTGGTAGCATTCGTCTAGGTGTTCTATTTCCAAAATCGCTATTTCTTTTCAATTTAGCAGCAAATTGAGAACTTCTATTCTTTTCATGTGAAAAATCAGAACATCGTCTTAAATCTCTTATACTACCTAAAGGTGTTACATTTTCAGAATATCTTCGGTACATTCTATCCGGAGATCGTTTTCTATCAATATCAGGTGAATTTTTAGGGCTAAAGTCAGAATTACGTCGACTATCGATTGAAAAACCATCTTCTTCATTTATGAATTTAACACTACATTCTGAATTTCTACGAGAAGATTTAGACACTTCACTATCTTGTCTACTAGCGATAGAACTTCTACGACTTGGACTGGATACTGTTATTATAGGTAAATTAGTTGTTGATGGTGTAGGTGTTGGAGGTCTAACATATACTTCTGGTACTGTTGATACTGGAATAGTTTTCTCTTCTTGAGATGACATACTTTTACAAGGAGATTTATCACAATCTTTTAGGATTTGTTCTTCTTTTTCAGATTTCGTAATTCCATCTATGATATTAAAATAAAAAAATTTTTTAAATTTAACATTTATAACTGTATTTTTATTTTTACCTTTAGAATTTTTATTCAACTCATTTGTAAAAGATGCAGATTCTGTTATTTCTCTATCTTTAATTTTAGAATTGAGCAAAGTAGGTACTAAAGCAGCAGCAACAGATGATGCCAAATTATTATAAGGAGCTAACATTGCTAATTGCATAATACCTAAAACAATATTTAATATAGAATATTGATGATAGCATATAAATAAGTATTAATATGACTTCTTTATGTCCATAGTTTTAAATAAATTAAAAATAATTTATATGTATAAACAAACCTTTCTGATGCGTATTGGAATCCCTCATTAACATACTATTTGGTACAGTTTGCAGTAAATGAATTAGCTTATATCCTGCATGTAGAAATATTAAATACAAAAGAATACTCCAGATAAGGAACACTATTTGGACTATATATTTTACCATGTAACAATTGTGAGAGATAAGAGCAATATCACTAGCAATTATGAAAAAAAAATGTCCTGTTATAATTAAACTAAGACAAGATTCTTTCTGAATTTTTTCTGGACCAAATTTGAGCTAAAATTTATTTATTAAAATTTATTAATATGTATAAAATCATTCTTAATTAATATTTAATTTTTATCATAAAATTACCTGAGTTAATTGTAAAAATGCCAGTTGTATAAGACTAAAAGCAGATGTTATACATGGAAATCCAATATCCCACACTATAGATCCAATAATTTTGGGCATAATATCTTTAAGATTGTATGGATCTATAAAAAGACATGCTGCTCTTGATGCTCCAAATATACATAAAAACATATTTATTGTAGACATAAAAGGCCGGCTTGATATAAGGGATCTTTAAAAAAAATATAAAATATTTATATACTTTTGTAATGTATATCATTAGAATAAAATATAATTTCATATATACCTTAAGTGTAAAATAGATAAAAATGTATAAAATGCAAGTACAAAGAAGAGACAGGCAAAACCATACATATGTAAAAAAAAAATCCATTTTAATTCTTGATTTATTGATATCAATGATGGAGTAATGATTAATAATTTATCTAAAATTGAAGGTGTTGATAAATTTGAAATACAATTTTGTCCAGATAGTGATGTTGATGATACATTCATACCTATTAGTAAAGTGAAAATAATTGAATTATTATTTGATATAATGTTGATATAATGTAAAATAATTATAAAATTGTCAAGTTTACTGTTACATAATGATTATAAAATCAGCAATTTTTTTTTTATTATATCTTAATATTTATCACATAAATTATTTGTATATTTTAAATAATAATATAAAACTATAAATTATAGAATCACTAAATAAAAAAAATTAAAAATGTAAGAAAAAACTGACCACGGGTCCAATTACTCAGCTTATCCATAATCTTTAGATTGATATTCACAGCACATTACTAACTTTTTTTAAATGTTTAAATCGCAATAATGGACAATCAAATTCTTTTTTAATTCGAACGAGCAACTTATCGTAATAACGAACTTTGAAATGTGACTGCAGCAACAGGCTTTACTTATAGCAGTCCGATTAGCATCCCTTCTCTAATTCGCGAATACAATTCCATCCGTTTCTCTCACCCTCTCGCTAGAAATATTGATTTTAGACAAAGGATGATTGGGGGGAAAATTTAGACCATCTTAAGTTTTACGCTTGTTCATTATTTATCTTTAAAATATAAATAGAACATTGCTAAATTTATAAAATTAATTCTGTCTCATTGCTTATTATTATTATTATAATCGTATATTACTATTTAAAAATTTTTTATATTTTTCAAATTTAAATTATTTTTAAATTATAAAATTATTTTTTTATTTTAAAAATTTATTTATTAATTTATATATTGAAATGTTGACATTTTTTTATATAATTCACTAATTAAAATTTAAAAATATTAAAATTGATTTAAAATTTAAATAAATTTGTTAAAGATATTAATAATTATAGAAAAATAATTGTAATTCAAATTTTTATTATTAATGATTTTATTATTAATATTTTTAAATTTTTATTATTAATTGTTTGTACTATTGCATATACTTATTTAATATATTATTAATTATTAAATAGATTAAAAGACAATAGTACAAATGAATCATTCTTTATTACAATATTATATTTATATTATTTTTATCAATTAAACTTTTAAATACAATTCTATTATTCACATTATAATTTCTTTATTCTTGTAACAATATTCTTATTAAGATAATGAAATAAGAAACAAACAATTTAAACAGCTTGATAATAATTATTTATATTATTATATATAAATTATTTACATATAATAGTTAAGATGAATATTTTACATATAATAGTTAAGATGAATATTTTATTGCAGTTTTGTATTTATAGATAATAATATTCTGCAGTAGTCAATGAAGTTGACATGCTCTAACTGCAATTAATTGCAAAAGAATAAAAATAGGACTTAAAACTTCTGAATATTCTAAAGGACTTTGACCTGATAGTTTTTTACACAAAAGATATTTAAACACAAATATTAAAAGTAATAATATAATACTCCATAATGCTCTTAAAATAGCAGCTTTAGTCATTCCTTCCAAATGCATTCTTATGAAAATAATTGCGCAAAAATAAGTATTCAAACCATCTGCAACAAAAAGTGGTGAAAATACTATCCACCATCCTGTGTGACCCAAGAAATAATTATCATCCAACTTAAGAGCTAATAACACAGTGAAGATTGTTAATGAAACTAAATTTATCCATATTTCAAAAATTGTCAGTCCCAACCAATGTACTAATTCATGTAAAGAAAATATCATTTTAAAGGGATTAAATCTGATATAATTATTAATTTGATTTTATATTTTCATTTATCATATTATAAATTTTTTTTTAATTTAATAAATTATATTTATTAAAAAATCTTCAATATTTTTTGAAAAATTATATTTTATTCTTGATATTTAAGGGTACTTATTGAAAATTTTCTATAAACGCGAATATGTATTGCTGAATTATTTCGATTAATTGTTTCATAATCTGCATTATCATCAAGAGGTTCAAAATCATCTGTAATATAAATATAAAATTATTATAGTATTTAACATCATGAATATATTATTTTACAATATTTATATACCAATAATTGATATTGTAGATGTCTTGATATCTAGTTCTATACCACCATAATGTATTTCCTTTAATTGTAAAGCCAAGCTGCATGCTTTTTGTATAGCAGAACCAAGACCATGAATAATCACTTCAAAATTGCCATTGTTTAACAGTTTTTCACACTTTTTCAATTGAGCCTTATATTATAGAAAATAAAAAATAATCAATTAAAATTAATGAGAATAAAAAAATATTTTAAATTTATTATTTTTGTTTAGTTATTAGTTTTGTTTGAAGTGACTGTATAATGAATTATGAATTATGTATTTAATATAAATATAAAATTAAACAAAAAATTGAATAAATTACAATATTTAAATTAACAAGTTTATAACATTTAGATAGATAATATAATAAAAAGCAAGATAAATTCTGTATAAATGAAATTTTATTATAAAAATTATTAACACACAATTAACAATATTAAAAGTAAAGGTTATAATAATCTTATAGTAAAAATTACCTTAAAGTTTGTTTTATTAGTAATAAATATGTCTTTATCGCGTTTTTTTTTTGTATCAAAAGGTTGTCTTTTTTTAATAATATAATCAGAAGATAATAATTTCTTACGTTTTGCTATGGATTTATTCTTTTCTCTTAGAAAATTTATTTTCAATTTAGAACATTCGTGCACATCGGCCATTCTGACAAATTCTACATGCTATTTTTTATTGTTTATTTGTTCTTAAAGAAATATTTTTATTGATAAATATCTTTTACTAATTAAGTAGAAAAAAACTATTAAATTGGATATGTAAAAATTCAGTGATAAATGAAATTACTAAATTAGTTATACAAAAGAAATATAACCTCGAATATTAAATTCGATTAATGGGCACTTTATCTAGATTTAATGCATTATATTGAAAAGAAGTAACATATTTTGATTTATCGTAAATACAAAATTCATACATTATGAAAGAACCAGAAGTGGATCCGAAGAATATTATAAAAAGCAGAGAACTCCTTTATAGACTTATGATAAGGTTATATATTTTTATTTCTTATATATATATGTCAATTAATCTTCTGGAATATTGAAAATAAAAGTTTTTTTATATTATAAATTAATTATATTAAATTATTAATATATTATTATTATTAATATATTATAATATTATAATTAAAATTATAAAATTTACGAATGTTTTTTTAATTTTATTTTTAAGATTATATTGAAAATTGATAATAATTTACAATAAATGTTTTAGTCAACTATTCTATGATGGACATCAAACACTGGCTGTGCAATTGTCAAATATAATCCAAGCAGAACCTCCATGTCCTCCATCTGATCGTTTACTTCATTTAATGTTAATTGGATTAGCTCATGAACCTGATCGTTCTAAAAAAGATACAAGTAATTTATCTTCCTTCACATCAACTTTTGATAATACTTTGGGGCCTGGCCTAGATTTAGAATTTGAAACGGAAGCTCAAACTCAAGCTCCAGAACCTGCACAATATGAGACTGCCTATGTAACTTCTCATAAAGGAAATTGCAGAGCTGGAGCATTTTCTGCAGATGGTCAATTGATAGCAACTGGATCAGTAGATGCATCAATTAAAATTTTAGATGTGGATAGAATGTTAGCTAAATCTGCACCAGATGAAATGGCACCAGGTGATCAAACAGGTGGTCATCCAGTTATAAGAACACTTTATGATCATTTAGAAGAAGTAACTTGTTTAGAGTTTCATCCAAGAGAACCTATTCTTGTGTCTGGAAGCAGAGACTTTTCTATTAAACTATTTGATTTCAGTAAAGCTAGTGTTAAAAAGGCATTCAGAACTATTACTGATGCAGATCAAATACGATGTTTATCTTTCCATCCTACTGGTGATTTTTTAGTTGTTGGAACTAATCATTCAGTAGTGAGATTATACGATGTTAATACAGCACAATGCTTCGTCTGTAGTATACCAAGTCATCAACATACTGCTGGAATAACTAGTATTAAATATTCTCCTGATGCAAAAACTTATGCTTCAGCTGGTAAAGATGGAAGTATTAAATTATGGGATGGTGTATCAAATCGGTGTATAAATACCTTTGTGAAAGCACATGATGGCTATGAAGTATGTTCAGTGACATTTACCAGAAATGGAAAGGTTTGTAATATTTGAAATATACATATATTTGATATATTTAAAATATTAAAAATTAGATAATTAATATTAATCTTGCAATTTTGGTTTTTAGTATTTATTATCATCAGGAAAAGATTCTTTAATTAAATTATGGGAATTATCTACTAGCAGATGTTTAATAGCATATACAGGTGCTGGAACTACAGGTAAAATATGAAAACATTAAGTATATTAAAATACATATGAATGATGTTAATTTAATATCATAAAAAAAGAATGAAATAATGTATTGTAATTGATTAATGATTTTTAATAGGCAAACAAGAACATAAAGCCCAAGCTATTTTTAATCACACTGAAGACTATGTAATGTTTCCTGATGAAGCTACAACATCATTATGTGCATGGAATTCTCGAAATGCATCTAGAAAACAATTATTATCATTAGGACATAATGGTCCAGTAAGATTGATTGTTCATTCTCCAACAGCTCCAGCATTCTTAACATGCAGCGATGATTTTAGAGCAAGATTTTGGTTTAGAAGAATGCCAACTCATTAAATTGGTATTAAAGAGCAATAATTCATCTTAAAAAAATTTAATATGTTTGGTAATATTTTTTACTATAAGTAATTATCGTGATAATTAGTTAAAATAATAATCATTTAAAATATTAAACAATGATAATGGCGTATGAGAAAATGTATGAAAAGAAAACTACATTCAACATTTATGTTCTTGATCAAATGTTCAATTACTATATCCTGAAGCGATAAACGTTTATTCGTATAGTATACGTTAATCTGATATGATCTAATTTTATATCATTGTACGTATTCATTACTTTTTGAAGTAAAAAAAAGACATTGCTTTATTTTGATATCTTGTATATCTATATGTATATCATTATCAATGTTAGTTATTAATAAGTAAATTCGTATAAATACAGTTTATGTAGATATTAAATCATCGACTAAGAAAATTATTAAAAATTCTTTATTTTTTATATTTACAGCATTTATTTTCAAAAATAAATTAAAAAATATTTTATATTATAAATATATGAAACGTATTTCAATAATAATCACAAAAATATAAAATATAAATATAACAACATATTTTTATATTTTATATTTTTCATTTTAATAATATCTAATTATTTTTCTATTTCAAAGAAAAATTTAAAGGAAAATTTAAAAGAAAATTTATCGTTATAATAGTCGATGAAATGATATCAATAATAATTTAATGCGAAGAAGAATAACAAATGAATAGAAATTAAATGATTAAATTTAAAATGTTCGATATGTGTTGCGTCGCTACGTGTCAAATTACTCAGTCAATCACAAGGCGGCGCTCTGAACTCCCGCTCTACGTTTGACGATGTGTCACGTGACCCACGCTAACCGCCATCTTTGCTTATCGTATAAACAGTGCGACCGGGCTCAGCACAAATTCTTGTTGAGAAACTGCGGTTTTTCCAGTGTTTTTGAGTGATTCAGTTACGAAGAAATGTCCGAGATTAAGGCGGAGAACAAAAATGATAACAACATCGAGGATGTATCAAAGGTAAGCAAAGGGAAGCACGAGAAATATCTTCATCAAGCCGAGTTTTCATGCTAAGGCGGCGTGTTGCGCCCCTCAAATACAAGAAGATACTTAGTTTCTCGAAAATTCGATACAATAGCGTGTATTACAATGAAGGAATGTTATTTGAAAAGTGATTATACAAACTACGAAACTATACAGCTGAAAAACACGGGTGCCTTATTGCGCGTAACCACAGGCTCAGTGATTTTTCAAAGCTGCGCCGTTTGTCCTTCATTGGCAAAGATGGTGGATGTTTTTTATTTGTGATTCTTATGACGAAGGGAGATTCTAGTTAATACAATAAATCCTTATTAAAAAAAAAGGCGGGAAATAGATTTTGATTCCATATATGTCATGAGGTTTCTTACAAAAACTTGTTCTCTCTTAACATTGTTCGAGGCTACGACGCTAGAAATACATATCGACTTGGCAAAATGGCGGGAAACTTAAACAAACTTAGCGTATATTCTCGTAGTTCAACGGTCCTTGATAGTCTTATCGCGGATGTAATTATCATCACGTTTATGTGTTTTTCTTTTAGTTTAACATAATCTTTAAATCGGATATAATTCGTTTTTGTATTATTGATGCTACTTTTACGTTAAATTATGATTGAACATTATAAGTTTTCAAATGTTTCTATTCATTGAAAATTATTAAAACGCAATAAAAAAATATTTTCAGGACCATTCAGCAGAAGAGAAACCAAGTCCAACGAAAAATAAACGAGGAGGCACGAAAAGACTCTCTACATTAGAAAGGTTGGCTCAAGAAGGGGAACGAGTCACAAAGGTACATCACGTGTTTTTTTCGTTTATTTTTCTTTTTCATTTTCTTATTTTATTTATTAAATCATATCTTTTTATTAAATCACATAATAAAAATTTATTTTTTTAATGTTTAAATGTTGTATTTTGAAAATTTAAGTGATCAAAGTTTCATCCCTTCGCTTCGTTATTTCCCTCCATTTAGCCTACCCGTAAACATTGCTACGTGAGCAGAAGGGTGTAAAGAGTGGGGATGCTAAGGGCTGGAGTAGGGGTGAGGGGAAGTTCTCTCAAGTCTTTGGAGGGGAAGAATTCCCGCTAATACATGTCGTGGCCGCCAATTATGAATTGTTACTTATGTTTCACAGATCGGTTGTTTGATTTTTTATTATTACTTTAATTATCAATTAATATTTTCCTTTTTTTTATATATTTTTATAGTTCATTTTAAACATTTTTATTTAATTAGACAATATGAATTTTATATTGTTTTTTTTTAAAATAGAAAAATTTTATTTAAGCGTGGAGATAGTGAAATAGTTTTACTCATTAAAATTTTCATCACAATTATGTTGATTATAGTTGCATATATTTTAATGTAAGAATTATATTATTACTTTTAGAATTAAGAATAAAATTTAATAAATAATTTTTTGTTACAGGATTTAAATGCATCTGTTGGAGAAGTTGAAGGTAGAAGGCGCACACGTAGTTCAGCACGAGGCCTAACTTCATCAACACCTGTACCATCTCCACCTAAAAAAGAAAAAAGGGATACATCGACAAAAGGTACTGGTCGTGGACGCGGGCGTCCTAAAAGGCAAGAAAAAAATAATGATAATAATACGGATGAAGAAGCAGCTAATAATAAAAGTGAAAAACATTCTGAAGAGGAATCTATGAAAATGGATGTGGATGAACATAAGGAGGAAACAGAAAAATTGACAGACAGCGAAGACAAAGGTGTTACAAAATTAGAAAGTAAAGAAGCTATTGAAAAGACTCATGATACTAATTTCAAAGAGGAAAAAGTTGCAGAAGAATCAGAGAATTTTGCAGAAGAAAGCAAGAGTTCTAGTATCAGTGAAGAAAAAAAGGAGGAGGACATAAAGGATAGCTCGGATTCGAGTCAAGATGCAACAGACACAACAACAGAGGCACCACCTTCATCTTCGTCAGAGTCTCAAAATCTCTCTAATACCATTACTACTGAAGAAAATAAGGAATAACCTTCTTTTGCCTGTTTACCAACTTCATGT